CTTAGCGATCAAAGCATTTATACATTGCTAGAATTGATGGTGATATCGAAAAATATCAAGTGTCTGTGTGTCCCAGTAACCATGTATAATATATACATATACATGATTTTTCTTTACAGTATCCCAGATTATATGACAGCACTGCCACACTATGTACATTAGAACAATGTACGATTATTGTGTCAACAGGTAAATATCTTTAATATATTTAATTTTGTTCACCTGACGTCACTTCTAACTACATCTGACCTACTTATGCAAATTGTGTACCAACCTTACAGAATCAGTAACCAATCAGAAATCTTGTTACATACCTCTTTCTGATGAAGGACACAAATGGCCGCCGAAATCTCGTTCAGAGCAAGAAAGCCATGAGGCTCGTTTCACCTCTCAAATAGTGTTTCCTGTCATCAAATCCTCCTGATCTATGTAACCTTGGTAATTGGAACAGTAACCATGGTAATTGGAACAGTAACCATGGTATTTGAAACAGTATACAAGGGAAGAGAGGAACACTATTTGATGTGCAAAAACAAGTCCTGTAGATTTCTTGGCTCTCAATGAGATCTTGGTGGCCATTTCTTTCAACTTAGGTCCACTGGTTAACAAATCCTGTCTGAATTGGCCTTGAACCTGACTTGCATTGCTATTTAGTCTGATGTAGTTAGAGGCATACAACTATGAAGAGACTGGAGTTTCTACCTACTTTTAAGTAAATATGACATACAGTAATAGTTCCAATAAAAACACACATAAACAAATATAGTATTCATTCAATACTACTTGAGTTTTGGTAGAATACTATTTGTAATATCTTCTGCTTCAATTTGGCTTCTGTTTATCGATTTACCAAGTCTGTCTGTAAAACATTAAGACAAGCAAATACATGATTCAAATAATTCTTGTTACATTTATTAAAAACAATTTCATATAACAACACTTTCTTCAGATGTAGTCTGAAAACAAAAACTAATGATTCATCTGTCTGTCTGTCTGTCTGTCTGTCTGTCTGTCTGTCTGTCTGTCCGTCCGTGTCTGTCTGTCTGTCCGCCCGTGTCTGTCTGTCTGTCTGTCTGTCCGTCCATCCGCCCGTCTGTCTGTCTGTCTGTCTGTCTGTCTGTCTGTCTGTCTGTCTGTCTGTCTGTCTGTCTGTCTGTCTGTCTGTATGTCTGTATGTATGTCTGTCTTTGCATGCATCTGTATGTGCACAAAGCCACACCTGTTTTTCATACTTGCCTGGGCTGATTACAGTCAAAACACACACTCATCATATCATACATGCATTGATGTCATCATCCAATTCAAGATGGCTGAATTGTGGTCATTTTAGTGCTAAAATTCCATCTAAATCAAACATTTTTGTGATTTTCGAACTGAAGTTCAGTCATGCATGGATATGTTTCATTCAAACTTGGTTGGTCTATTGATTATAATGAGTCCTTGATGCATGTCACTTATTTTCCAGATCGAATGCAAAATGGTTGACTGGCAGCCTCTCTGACATGCTTTGACAAATCTCATTCCAACATTACACATACATCATGTCATACACAAGCCATGTATTTGTTTCATGATCCAATTCAATATAGTCAAATGGTGGCCATTTTAGTGCTAAACATTCATCAAAATCAAGCCTTTCTGCCATACAATAACTGGATCTTGTTCATCTATGAATGGATTTTGTTCATATTTGGTACCTATATTGGATATTACCCCTGGTATGGGATAAAAAATGTTTGTAATATGTTATATGATATATGTAATATGTCATACGAGTGCCAGTCATAATAAGTAATAAAGACATCTTTTATCAGTCATCAAACAACCAGCAAGAACTGTAATATGACTATACTGGTGTTATCAACCACTATACTAATCACACCAACTTCAATTGACACATTAAATAGTTTATTGTTTTCTAATGCAATTGTTTGAAATTGTTTTGTTTCACATGATGTTAGATGTTTATCTCATCAGAGATCATTTTAAAAACATACCATGGTGACTGTATTGTTTTCTTATATATAT